CTAACGAGGTCTTTGCCTGGCGAAGTCCGCGTATTCCGAGCCATGGCTTTCGCCATGTGGCTTTCGCCCATATGGTAGCCTTCTCAACCTTCGCCGCTTGCCTCCGGTCTGAGTCTGTTGCCTAAGCTCTTGGTTTCGGTAGGTTCGGCCGAGGGCCCTCGTGGTGTACCTCCAACATTATCTAAACCCCTAACCGACCCCATTAGCACATCAGGTTCTGTATGGCGTAACATTTCCTCTAAATCAATGATATTATCACCACAACTATCACCATCAGCAGCCTCAATGTGATCATCTTTGTCATGATAAGTCCATATTGTGTAACCCTTCATAAATCCACACGTCACCAACTGATCCCTTATTCTCGAACCGTCTATCCATACTTTTTCATTCTTACAATCAGTAAATGGACAATGTATCTCCGTTACATTGTTGTTGTAAGCGTGTGTTGTGGCAATATCAATAAATTTAGATACTTCATCCGTATATGACGACAAATACCTCGGCATATGATAGATTCATTGTCTGTCCATAACTCTGCAAACAATTCATTTACAATTATATTATAAATTAAATTGACATAATAGTACATATTTACAACCAAACTAAACTGTGCTTGTTATGAGAAAGAGAAATATAAATAAGTAGGGGATGGGGATCTACAACACATAAATTTTTCCTATTATGTGGGGAGTGTGGACAATACATATTTTCTCTCTCTTTGAAGGAAGATGTTTTTCTCTCTCTACACTAGATCTAGGTGACTGGGAAAGAGCAATATACATATAGTTTGGTAATTTAGGCACAATGGAAGAGAGAATAACATGACACCATGGTGTATACATAGATCAACCACAATCATAGCATAACAAATCATAAAAATGAAAAAAAATTGCATGCAAAACATGGTGCTTTCACTATTTTTGCATGCATAGATCCATCACTAATAAGGCCAAAAAATAAAAAAATTGTAAGAATTAATGGAATGCACGGATCTAACCACGGCAGAAAAATCCACCGAATTTCGAGTTCAAACCTCCCCACCCCCCAAAAAAATTTCTTGTTTTCAGAGAGAGAAACTCCATATGAACTGTTGGGAAACTCGGGGGGAGGAAGCACAATATATATAGGACCTTCTTTCCGTGCGGGCCACTTAAGTGCTCCACCTGGGAAGATGGATCTTCTAAGGTGGTCTGCCATCTAGCCCCTCCTTCCTATCTTACAGACGGATCGATGGGGCACATTTTTAGTTCACCTAGAAATACGGTAGTACCTCGTTTAGGAAAATGGTTTTTCTGGTACTATGTTGTATCCACCCTCTTGAGGAACGTAACCTTGGGTCTATTTGGGAAGCGAGGAGAAGCAGTAGAACACGAGGAAGGGAAGGGGATGAGAGAGAAGGAGGAAGGATAAAGGATGAGAGAAGGAGGCGCCGCAGTTGCCGGCGAACCTACGCTCCACACTATGGCCCTGTTTGGAAGATTAGCCCAGGACTAATTTTGAGAACTAATATTTAGTCATGAATTGGTAGGCTAAACATTAGCCTAAGGTGGTATGTTTGGATCCATAGGCTAATTCAAGGCTAAAAGGTGGAGAGAGAGTAGAAAGTGAGGAGAGAGAAGGAGAGAGAGAGCTGCTTTTTTATGGTCCCCACACAAAATTAGCCCCATTAGCATCCCTTGGAGGGGCTAATTCACTTGAGCCAAAAATTAGCCCACCTGTTTGGATCCTCGAGGGCTAATTCAGAGCTAAAAGGTAGGGGCTAATGTTTAGCCCATGGAACCAAACAGGACCTAAGTCGCCTCGCGTGTCACCCCGAGAGAAAATGGTGGATTATCCCCTTCACATATTTGTATCTGTTATTAGACAATACCAATCGACCAACATATTTTGCACCCACAATGACAAGAAAAACAAAACTGTTCTTCTTTTTAGAAGGTAAAGTCGGCGTTAGTTTTATATTCGTCACATTCAAAAAAAATTATATAATTATTTACTTCATGTTAGAACATTTTCTTTTATGTCAAGAAAAAGACAACAAACAAATGTTGGTCACGTTTAGTGATTTAAAAAGTTGGGTAACATATCGATATGCCCTCTGATTAAATAGATGGCGATGCATCGTTACCATTGAGCTAAGATAAATTTTATTATCCTTGAGAAAGTATCTGGAGGTATCAAGATTTTACTCTAGAAATTTTGGTACCCATCAAATTTTAGAGCATATTTTCCATACTTGAAGAAGTACTATGAGGTACGAGGTATCATGAGGTACCAATCTAATCTAACTATTGGTTTAAAGAGGCAGGATCGGCTAATGAAAATGAGGTGCCTCTGCTAATCACCGCCCACTCGGCCAATAGCGAGTTCGTCCGTGCCGCCCTCTTCTCCTCTCTTCCATCTGCCGCATCGCCGTTGCATCGCCGCAGCATCGAGTCTGCCGCTGCCGCCGTCGCATCCAGCCCGCCGCCCCGCGGCCGCCGTCTCATCGAGCACCCAGGCACTTTGCCAGACGGAGCTCCAAATCCATCACCTGTCAATTTGTCATCTCGTCCTCCACCCTCGTCTCAGCTTCCCTGGCGGACGACAGAGCAAGCGCCCCAAATCGGTGGCTTTCATATCAAAATTTTATTCGGCAAAATTGCTATTCAAAAAAAGTTGAAATTTATCCAAGAATAGCCTGATGACGAACATTTATCAAGTAAAATTGCTCTTACTAAAACTCCAAAAGGTCTGAACATAAGGGGAAGATGAATAAAAGTCATACATCTGTCTACGTACTGAATACTGAAAGCAATATACTAATATCCATCCATCAGCTGATGCCGGTGCTGTTCGATCTGCTTGCTTTCTTCTTCGTGCATGAAGCATCACTCGGCACCACAAAGGTTGTTGAGCGTCCTCGCTATCTGCCGCTTGAGCTGTGGCGGGGGCCACCGCCTACATCAACGGGATTATCGCGATGAGATTTGGCGACTGCTGTGCTTGGGGCAGCCAGATCCACCCCGCTCTCGCAGCGCGTAGGCCTTGCGGTCGGCGGCAAGTCGGCGACAGTCCTAGCGAAGTCGAGCTGTGAGAATGGAAGAGGAATGTGGCCATGGCTGGGCCGCCGGGGGATATCGGTGGAGGCGTCGTCCCTGGCTTCGCTCCTCTGCTCGGGATGCATATGCGAAATCATAGTTTTACCCCTAAAACTTACGAACGGAGTGGAGGCACCTGGTGGAAAGAGGTGCGGTACTGGGAGGTACCAAATCTTCCCAGCCGTTTGATCATGCGAAATCAATGGCTCTGATTCGGTACCTCCATCCCTCAAGGATGGTAAAATCTCTCTAAATTTTACGCTAGAAAATGTGGTACCTTCCTATACCTTTTCAAGAATGATAAAATTACCCTTGAGCTAATATAAAACCTAACAGTTGTAAACTAGCACAAAAGCATTAGGAAGAAGTCAAAGCGGGCGGAATTACGTGAGAGAAAACCTCAGACCTTGTATGTGTGTACTATTAATTTTGTTTTCTGAAATGTGCACTCAGAGTTCCTATTTTTATTGTTGCGATATCATGCAGTGTAACTGATTGTATGTCCAATACAAATCCCAGCCTCTGCATCATGTGATGCACACAGGCGTACAATTTTTTTTTTGAACGACTCGCACGAGACGGTGCGAAGTTCTATTGATAAAGCAGGAAAAAATTACAAGATTACAACTCTGGAGAGTCGTAACTAGGAAAAGGAAAAAAATATACCACCACCCGCACACCAACAGCGCCAACACACAACCCGGGAGAAGGCTAGCACCGGACCGGCCGCCGCTAAGCGTGACCGACCGCCGCTGGACTAACAAAGGAACACAGACAAGATGTCCTTGGCTGATGCACCGATGCTCCACCACCTCTCCAGCTCTGCCGACATGCGGGACCCCTGCACCGGCGTCCTCCGCCAGCCAGTCTTCATGCGCCGAAGACCGCGCCACACCCACCGGCAGCTCCTCCTCGCACCGAGGTCGCCTCCTCCACCACCGGCCGCGCCTCTCGCGCCAAGCCGGCCTCCTCCACCGGACGCGCCTCTCGCGCCAATCCGGCCTCCCTCCATCGGCCGCGCCTCTCGCGCCAAGCCGGCCTCCATCTCCGCCTCTCGCGCCGAGCCGGCCTCCGCTATCATCGGCTGCGCCACTCTGCGCCCAGCCGATCTCCGACCCCTCCTCCAAACGATGCCGCGCCGGCCCGATGTAGCCGTCTGCCACGCCCTTAGCTAGCCGTCCGAGGCCGCCATGCCTCCGGCGACCGTGGTCACCGCCACCGCAGCCACTGCTGCCAAACGCATACCCGCGCCTCCTCCTACCGTGCCACAGTAGCCACTGACGCCACTGCTGCCTCAGGCCACAGCCGCGGCTGCCACTGGCACCGCCGCCGTTGCCCTTCACCAGCCGCGCCGCCGGTCGCAGCCGTCCGCGAGCCTCACGCCGCCGTCGCCGCCATCGCTCGGCCCGCTGCCACCAGGGCCGCCATGCAGCCGCCGTCGCCGCCCGCGCGCATCTCGCCGCTGCGACGGCTGCCGCCGGCTGCCGTGCGAGTCGTCGCCGTGACGTCGCCGCGCCGTCGCCGCCGCCTCCGCTGCCGACGCCGCGCCATCGCCGCCGCCCTTGATGCGTCGCCGCGCCGCGGCCTCCTCCGCCACCAGCGTCCACACCAGCCGGATCCGGCCAGGGGATGGCCAGATCCGGCGAAGGTGATGCCGGATCCAACGTCTCCTCGCTGGGATCGGCCTCCGCCGCCGCTCCCCAACCGCCGCCGTTCGTCGCCTCTCCCGCGCTGAGAGGGGTCGCCGCCATGAAGAAGGCCCCGCCGCCGCCATCATGGCTCGTCCGCCGGCTTTCCGGCGGCGAGCTCCGGCGGCGGCGAGGTGGGGGAGGGGGAAGAGGAAAGGCGGCGGCGGCGCTAGGGTTTCGCCCCCCGTGTCGCCAGCGCGTGGGCGACGCGGGGGGGGGGGTACCCTACTATACAATTGAAATTTCACAGGCGTACAATTTGTTCCATAAATAATGTACATTTTGGTTTTATTTAGCCGTCTTGGTTTAGAACAACAAAAGTGATAAGTTAAACCGAAGGACAACATCGAAGTTCTAGGTAACCAACTCTTTCAGTTGTTTCTCAATATCAGAGAGGAGAGGCCTGGCGGTCTTCTCCATTCCACAGTCGGTTCCAGTGAAAAGCATGCAGCTTTCAAGGTTAGCCATGGTATTCGTGGCCTTGGTTAGTAACTTCACGAATTCCTTCTTCTGATCACTGCAGCGGTTGCGGCGCATAATTGGTTCAGCAATCTGGCCGCAGAGCTTGATGATCCTCAGAGAGACAGGCGTCGCCTGACGTTGGCAGTTGTCGTCTACGATAGCCTTGAGCATATTCAGAAAAGCGCCTCCACCACCTGAGATTTTCTCTTCGATGATAAGAGCAAAGTTCTCTGGTTCGATCAGTTTGTCACGCATCACCAAGGTCAGGGATAGCAACGCTTCTTGCAGTTCCTTCATGTCAGCTTCTTCGTGATCGTTTTCTTGATCGGATGCCTTGTCATGGGCCCTCCGGCCTTTCTGCTTTGATGCCTTTCCATGCGCCTTCCAGCAATTCTGCTTTGGACGTTGCATCTCTTCATCATCTACCTGTGAAAAAATTCCCCAGTTCTCTTCATTGGCTCCCCGTGCAGAAGTTGTTCTTGCAGATGCTTTTGTTTCATGTGTTTTCTGTATTTCATCGAGGACCTGCAACGGTGATGCAACTTATTTTTTTTAGAAACAATGGTGATGCATTAGGTAAAACCACTAGACACTTTTTGACAGGAGAGTTTCTTGAATTGTGAGAAATCGATAAACAGAGTTAGGCTTTGTCGCACCTTTTGGAGGAAAGTTTGATCGACGTGTTCCTTACAGTGGGTGCAAAGATTCTCCAAGATCTCGGCTGATATTGTCCTGTGTCTGGTGTTGTACTTGGCATCAAGCATTCCAATGAGACGATCAACGATGTCATTATGCTCCCTCACGATGAACTTAGAGATAGCTTCACTCTTTGATGATAAGATTGACAGTGTTTCCCCAGCTGTAGCTTTGATGGTCTTGTTCATCTTCTTCTTCTTCTTGATAGGTATAGGGGCTCTCAGCTTCTTCTTCTTCCTCTTCTTGATGGGATTGGTTGCAGCAGGAGGAACTGGTGGTAGTTGTATTTCATCTTCCCCTCCATTAGCGAGGAGGAAGGTCTGCAATTGCTTCCTGACGAGGTTTTCTCTGGTTTCCAAGGTGATGTCGAGAGAAGAATCCAAAACAAGTTCAGTGAAGATCTCCATGGTTCGCACCTGCTGCTCCTCTGTTCCCAGATCAAGAATACTTTGCAGGTTGGTGACCGCCTGTTTATTTGAGGAGATCTCGTGGCGCAGCCTTGTTCCAGGAGCGGCATGGGTTATGAGGTGGTGCACCACCTTGAGCGAGCTGTTTGCTATGTTGGCCCACGGCTCGCTCCTGCCGATGTCTTGGATGAGCGTGGCAGAGTAGAGCGGCACGGTGATCTTGTCGAGGAGGCCCGGAGCGGCGCGGATGTCCGTGCAATTGTGTGGGTCGCAGGTGAGCCCCTCGAGAATCCTGAGTCCCTGCAGGATCAGCTCGTTGCAGCCTACTTGTTCTTCTTCTTCTTCCCTGCCATCGTTCTCGTTTTGTCGCATGCCAACACCTGGCTTCTTCCTCTCACGCCGCCGCTGCTTCCTCTCACGCCGCTTCTTCTCCATTTCTGCTTTTCTACGAGCCCATTCCCGATCTCTTCTTTCAGATGGTAAGAGCTGATCATCGTCGCGCTGATTATTGTTCCAGAGTGGCTGGACGGTTGTTTCGAGCAATGATGACACGGACCGGATTGCTCCAGGGAAGTGCGCAAGCTGGATGCCGCCGGCGAGATGCGCCACAATCCTCGCGGCGAGGACTCTCATCTCTTTGTTGTTGTTGCCATCTGATTCTGACTCTGATGATCCTGTTCCTGTTTGTGTGCTCCCCAGCTTATCTACGAGTATCTGTATCTTGGTCTTGGAGCGAAGAATAATGCTACTCGCATCTTCCCCGGCCGTGATGAGCCTGTCTAGGATCCTTGCTCCCCAGAGGCATTCTTCCTGCGACTCAGATTCCAGCAGCCCTGCTGCGTAGCTGAGAAAGGTCCTTTTCTCAGCAAGAGGAGCAGGGTCCCGCACGCATTTCTTCCGGGTGTACTGAAGGTATTTTCTAACTGACCTCATGCGCCACTCTTCTGGGAACTTGCATTGCTTGGAGAAATTAACGGCGAGGCTGATCTCGCAAATGAGAAGACATATCAAGAAGCAGTAGAGCACACACTGGCACAGAACCAGGACGTAGAAGAAGTCCAGTCCTGGCGTCAGGTTCGCTAAGCTGCTCGCTTCACCAGTAATAATGGAGGAGGATGAGGATTTGTCCCAATGGCCCTGGTAATCACGGTGCCTCAGGCGCCATGACGAGAGGCCGATGCACACGATAGGACCAAAAAAGTTGAATAGGAGTAGAATATTGAACATCGGAAGGACTGGGCTTGCTAGTATTGCAGTAAATGCGTGAGCAATCGCCCCCTCCCCAACACGAATGTATGAGGGCAACAATGGCAACGTCAACAAGTCGGAGGCAGTAACGAGTACCATATTTCTTATGTTCCAAACGCTGACTGTCAGGATGTCCTGCGACTGCAACTCGTTGAAGATGCTGTGGGATGGACAAACAGAGTAATGTTAATGATATGCACGTCCCAGAGAAAGTCATAGTATAGACGATTGCATCACACACTGTATTCGTAAATCTTAGTATGCACATGCGCGTGCATCCCGTTGTAAAGCTATGAATATTTCTTTTTACATGACTTTTATATATGATATTATACTGTTACATTTTTTAACTTATGATCTTATACTTTGAGTTAACTATGGGGAATTATTCTAAACTCTCAAATAATTATGAAAACTTTTGAAACAATTCAGCAAGATAGAATAACCAAGATCAGCGCTGAGAGAAATTATGTTGCTTGAGATGCATTCTACAGGTGTCAATCGGCACGCGCGAGATGTACAAGTCTGCATAGAGAGCCTCCTCCTTATCTCTTCCCACACGAGCACACGCGGTTAGAGTGGAGCGGGTGACGACACGCCCGCGCCCCCCCCCCCCCCTCTTCCAGCAAACTGGCCCCATGGAGAAGAGGGGATGTAGTTGAGCGACGGCGATGTCCGTCCAGTGAGTTCCCTCCTCCTCTACCCCCCCTCCTCCACCGTTCCGCTGCTCGGCCTCGCCAACACCAAAAGGCGTCAACGTGCTAACGTGGCCACGCCAACCGGTCTCCTTCCCTTCCCCTTTGCCCCGCTTTGCCTCCGCCACCTACACTGGATTACCTCCCACTGCTGGCACCGGGGTTTTGGCGGCACCACCACTCCACCTCACCGGCACCAAAAACATCAACTTGTCAGCGTGACCCAGCTGGCCTCCTCCCCCTCCCCCTCCCCTTCGCCTCACTTTGCCTCCACTGCCAACACTAGCCTACCCCCCGTTGCTGACCCCATGGCTTCGGCGATGCCACCGCCGCCTCGCCGTGTGCCCTAGTCCGTCACCCACCACCGGTTTGCTGCCTCCCATGTCATCCCTCTAAGCCCGATCACCCACTCCCCCTTCCCATAGCGCTACCCTTTCCCCACCCTACCCTCAAAACCTTAATCCTAGCTTGTCGCCATGTGGTCGAAAACCGCACACAACTTCTCTCCCTGGCGCTTCTAATAAGTATTCTACTCCCTTTGTTCTCTTATATATGACGTTGGTTACAAAATACAAGAAAACCCCACGAAAATCGCTCCTAGGCCTATTCGACGACTGGCGCCAATTTTCAGTAGCTGCCACCCCACAACACTCTGTACTAGCCGAGCCACTGCCATTAAGCACTTCCCTGCCAGATCAGCCCAATCGACAGTGGCCACAGTGCCCTCTTCGTGTCGAATGTATTGCGACAATCCCAGATGAGCTCCCGGTCCTCCACGCCTTTGCCATTCTTTTATCTTGAACATAATCCTGCCCATGCCCCTTCCACCATGCGTCACCACTTCCTGTGTTGGATCCGGCTGGCTGACGGCCAAAACCTCGGGATTTGGACGGTTGATGCCTTGATGGTATGCATTTCCTCTCTCAAGTTAGTTCTGATGGATAAGTTGGAGAGGAGGAAGGATGGCAACGGGGCTGCACCCGCCGGGTTGTAGCATCCCGTCCCCGTCCCCGGAGTGGAGAAAATCTCCCGTCTCCATCCCCATCCCCGCACTCGGGTGGAGATTTTCCCCCGTCCCCGTCCCCATGCGGGTGATAGCCACCCACCGGGTTCCTCACCCCCGACGACGGCAGCAAGAAGACACAGCAGCAGAGGAGGCGACAATGGCATCTAAACAGCGGCAACGGCGTGCAGCAGGCGCTCGCGCGAGCTCGTGGCTTGGCGACGGCAACAACGGCGTGCACGCGGCGCCCCACTCGAACCCGCGGCTTTGGAGGCGGCGATGGCAGCTCATCGTGGACGCGCTGCGACGCGGCACGGAGGCAACAGCAGTGCAGCATCACTGCAGCTTGGCTTGGAGGCGGCGGCGATGTGGCGTGGTCGACTGCCGCGGCTTGGTGGCGCCCCTGGCCTTGGTCAACGAGAGGACGAGTGGTCCGTGCTGTTGTTTGTGCCTAGGGTTTAGTTGGTATATATGCACCTACGAATGGGCCTCAAGTGGGCTTTTAATTTCTTTATGGTTGTGGGCTTTTAACATAGACATGTGCACATGGACCTAACTACACAGGCCCCATGGGGATTCGGGGACGGGGAGCTAAGGAATGTCCCCGCCCCCGCTCCACCCGACGGGGGGCAATTTTTGTCTGATAACAACCCCATGGGGGATGATATGGTCTCATTTGAAGCCCCTAATAGAGGTTTTCCCCGTCGGGGATCGGAGAGAGTGACGAATGAGCAAGAGGGATTGGGGCAGGACAGGATACCCCCACCGTCTTGCCTTCATTCTCACGCAAGATAAGCAGAAGGCCAGACAACCGCAACAGACCTACAGCCTCATCTTTTCGCTTTTGCTTATGCTTATCAGCCAAAATTTGAATTTCAACCTTAAATTTAAAGTTGATTTTAAAGTTTTTTCATCAAAATTTATTTTTCAGCATTTGCTTTTAGATCGTTAAGAACGCATATATAAAAGTTTTATTTACAAACTATTTTTCGTTTACAAATATACCGTTTGGCTAGCACAGTCGTGCCAGCTTCCTTGCTGATGCTGACGCCCACAGGTGCGCGCATGGGCAGCTGATGCGTCTGCGCTTGCACGTGTCGAGGCCCATTGGGAAAGGTGTTTATGTTTTTTTTTGTTTGTTTGAATTATTTTGATTGTATTTTAGAAGTCCACCTACATCATGAATCTTTCAACCCAAATTTTAAAACATTCTATTGAATCTTTAAAAAAAATAAGAGAATAACTTTCAACTCAAAATTTCAAAATTTTAAACTTCCATTCCGAACTTAGAAACTTTTAAGTCGAATTTAAAAAATCTCATCTCAAAATTTAAAACACTGAACTCAACTTTTTAAAAACTTTCAACTCAAAATTAAAAAACTTCCAACTCAAACTTCAAAACTTTTTTACTTAGATTTAAAGAACTTTCAACGCAAAATTCAAAACTTTCAACTCAAAATTAAAAATCTTTCTACTAAAATTCAAAAACTTTCAAGTCAAAATGTAAAAGCTTTCAACTACAAATTTAACACCGTCAAGTATTTTTAAAAACTTTTGAACTACATTATTTATGTATTGCATTTTTTAAAAAAATAATACTAAATACGTACTATCAATAGCGCGTACTAATAGTCGTAGTGGGTATATATACTTTAGAGTAGCGGTGGGCACGGCTGCACTACTTACCAGGACAACAGAGTGAGAGATGGTGAGTTGGTGACTGTCGTGTTTCTAGTGTGAGCAAAACTCAAGGCCATTTTTTTCCTGGTTGCGGTTGTATTTCTCTTCTCAATGAAATTAGGTAAAACTTCTGCTTATGTTCAAACTTAAGAACTTTTACGATATATTTACTACCAATATAATAATGGCAATTTAGGATTTTAAAAAATTATGTATTTGGCAGCGTCACCCGCCTGGACTTGTTGTGGCTACCGGTGCCTCCCCATGAAGAACACTGACTAGGAATGAGTAAATAGTAATACTCTCTCCTTTTATAATTATATTATAAGTCGTTTGAATTTTTTTTCTAATTAAACTTCTATTTGTTTGACCAAATTTATAGAGAAATATAGTATGTTTTCAACAAAAAAACAAAAATATTATCAAAATATATTCAATGTTAGATTTAATGAAACTAATTTGATATTTTAAATGTTATTAATTTTTCTATAAACTTGGTCAAACTTAAAAAAGTTTAAATAGAAGAAAAGTTAAACTAGGGAGTAGTTTGGATTGCTCGGGGGAAAACGTCTTGCGTTGTTTCAATATATGCTATGATTTTACCGATTGCCACCACCAAATAGTGTAGAAAGAAAATTAACCCTTTTAATATGTAATCTACTTAAGTAAAGGGGCAAGAACACATCAATCTAAATACTTCAGTTACTTATACTAACAGTACTCCTTATAAGTTTAAAAAAAAAAAGTGTGTAAGGCTGTCAGTTGTGCCCTCGTATTCCATATAATCTTTTTTTAGACACCATATAATCTTTTAAGAGAGAAGGAAAAGCAGTGGGGTAGGTATATTTTTAGAGTAATTTTACTACTTCATCCTTTTAAGTTCAAACAAGGTACCTAAAACTTTACGCTCATACCTCGAGTTACATACCTATTAAATATGGAAATTATCCGTACTTTTACTAGTGCTAGCAAATTCTAGTGGCAAGGGCGCGCTGAAAAGATGGAAAATTAATTGACAAACCTGGTTGCCTGTACAACAGTAATTGCTGTCAAGCACGCGAAATCCTTTCTTTGCAGCGAGCTGACGTAGCCACCAAGGAGGACTACCGTCGACCACGTGAACGCAAGGTACGCCATGAACGTGAAGACCATTCTGATGTACACCTGCACGGCGAGGTTACGATTGATACTCACTTCCAGCTCGGCGCGGTTCTCCTGTCGTCGGTCGGACTCCGACTCGGACTCGCCGCCGGCAATCATCGTACCCTCCACCAGCTATGCTTCGCTTCAATATGGGGCGAAGCTGCAGCAGGCCACACATACCATATATATAGTACTTCGTCCGTTTCACAATGTAAGTCATTTTTAGTATTTCTCATATTCATATTGATGTTAACGAATCTAGATAAATGCATATGTTTAGATTCATTAACATCAATATGAATGTAGAAAATGGTAGAATGACTTATATTGTGAAACGGAGGGAATACTTCTCTCTTTTTTTTAATATATGATGTCGTTGATTTTTTTAGATATCTTTAACCATTCATCTTATTAAAAATATTACTACATATGTTTTATAATATAAGAAGTTTTAGAGTTGGACACAGTAATTAAGAAAGTAGATAGGCTAGGTTGCAGTGACCTAAATAGCACCCTAAGGTTCTGAGTTCAAATCTCTATAGGAGCGAATTTCAGATTGAGTTATTTGAGGACTAAATTCCCTGTTTGATAAGCTAAGTTCCCAATTTAAAAATGTTGTATATATCCGGTTGGATGTAGAGGCCGGGTAAAAAATACCCTTATCTAAAAAAAAAAGAAATATGTGGGAAAAATGAATGGTGGATGGTTGTGACTTGTGATTGGTTGGGAAAAGGAATGTTGGTAGAGAAGTTGTTATATTTTAGGATAAATTCTGAATGCTAAAAATTATTATATATTGGGACAGATGGAGTATATAATTATTATTTATTTTATAATGATTTGATTTATTATCAAATGATCTTTAGGCATGACGTAAATATTTTTATATTTACACAAAGTTTTTAAATAAAACAAATAATTAAGCATTTGTTAAAAAGTCAATAACATCGAATGTCTGGAAGAGGCGACGCTAGCAATTCTTCTTGTTAGGTTTAGCGCTAGCTGTTACTGGCCACTTGGCTATATAGTCCATGGAATCATCGTCAATAAATTAGCCCCACCAGTTTATCGAAGTGCAGATAATAATAAACTGGGACTGTCACGAAAGGTCACGGACGATCCTATTCTTCGTGTGGAATCAGGGGAACGATGGCGGCTGGGCGATCCAGCCAAATAAGCCAGCGGGGTCATCACGTAGTACGTACTACCTTCCATTTCAAAATTAATTAGCTTCTTTTTATACACGAATTGTCGAATTTGCATATAAACCAGTTCAGTTTTGTAATATATAAATGAATTTATTTTAGCACGAAAAAGTACTAAACAATATTCCTATTTTGGAGTCTTATGTCCAGAGAGTTTTAACAATGAAAGTTAATTTGTCACAGGTAAACGGGGTCTGCAGGGCGGATCCAGATCACTACCACCGGGGTCAGATGACCCCGATGACGTTTATCAATCCATCAGCCAAAAGCTCGTTGATGATTGACCCCGCCAGCAGCTCCAATGATTTAATGCACCCCACTCCCTTGAAACTACGTTCAATTCGGTTCAAAATATAGCAGCTAAGTACAACATGAAATATTTATAGTATGATAAATTTGGAAAAAAAAATGTCCGTACGGATGGAGATAGTACTATATAACAATGTGTGTGTTCAAATTTTGAGAAACGTATATTCATACCTCATGGGATACTGGGATATACACTTGTTGTTGCATGTCACTTGCATGTCACTTAAAAAGTTATAAAAAAAGTAAGATAGATCAATATGTGTTACTCCACAAACTTGTACTCTCTCGGTTCCATAAAAAACGAATCTAGAACTAGATATGACATACTCTAATACTACGAATTTATATGTTCAGATTTATAGTATTACGATGTGTCACATCGGATTCTAGGTTGATTTTTATGGGATAGAGAAAGTAGGTTCAATTCAACCTGTACAAATAGAAACAAAAACAATAAATTTAACTATGAATAAAACGCATAAGTCATACTCAAATTTGTTAGGGACAACTTTGTTTTTGCCCTCACTTTCATCTCAATATTGATTTTGCCCATATTTTTTTAAGGTTTTCTTTTTGCCCCCACTTTTTTTGAACCGAACAATCCGTTTACCCCTTTTTAGATGGAGCAGTTAACGGTGTTAACTTTTTATCAAAAGGATATTTATACACCCTTCCATCTTTATTCATTAATTGTGATTTTACACCTAGCCCAAACTCGAAGGCGGCTAGCTTGCTGGCACTGCCCTACTTCTTCCCTGGGGCAAAATTGGGGGCAAAGTGATGTCTAAATTGGGGGCAAAATCACAATTAATAAATAAAGATGGAAGAGGGTATACATGTCCTTTTGACAAAAAGTTAACACTGTTAACTGCTTCATCCAAAACAAGGGCAATGTGGGGGCAAAAATGAAAACCCTAAAAAGTAGGGGTAAAATCAATATTGGAGATGAAAGTGAGGGCAGAAATGAAATTGGCCCAATTTATTACAATTACTTCTAATTGCATAAGTTAAATTTAAACTTGCATATTTATCAAATGATATATCACATATTGATCTATCTTATCAAGTTTTTTTTTTGATAACTTTTTTAAGTAACATGCATAAAACGACGGATATCTCTTGAAGAGACAAAAATCCATGTCCCCAACTCTGTTGTAGAATAAAGTAAGTTGTACATCTATTTTATCATCTCAACCGATTATGACTATCTCTATGTCAACTTTTCTATCTCAACCAATCCAAACAATCTCCTATTTATTTCTATTTATTTTTTAATCCAGCACTACTACACATATTAAATTTTCTTACTAAATTTATAGTAGCAATTATCTCAACTGTTTAATTTAAGTTGAAGAAAGTTATAAAAAATTATAGATACACGTTTCCTTTTTAATCAACTCTTAAAATCTCCGAGAGCTCTCCACCGCCATCGCCTGCTCCCATAGACGACGGTGCCTACCCTCCACGCGAGGTCGGGCATTGGTCGAGCAGTGTCGTCATTGCATCATCCTACCGGCCCGAGGTCACCTCCGCATCCACCGCTCATATCAAGGCTGCCGGGTCGCTCAGTTTTGCGGCTTAAGCTCGGCATATGCGCTACTAGAGTGCGCATCTCGGTCCACCAATCATGGTTCACCCAAGTCACATTGGACCTGCTCCAGCATAGGTCTAACCGAAGCCACAACTTTAGGTCTTGAGCCTACACAACCCATAAGATTAGTCGGACCGTCCACACCTTTTAAGTCATGCTCCCCATCATTAATTACCGATGTGGAACTAAACTCAATAATGTCCCCCATCACACATCGGGCCCAACAATCTCTCCCATTACATCAACCCATGTGACCCCGAAGACTTGTTACCTGGCCTCAGGCCCAACATCTACCGGTCATATCGATCCATGTGACCCCGAAGACTTTTTACTCGGCCTCCCCACCATGTAACCCATGAAAATTGTTCCGGGTTTCAAACCTTAGACTCTGATACCACTTGTTAGAGTGTGCAGCTCGGCCCACCAACCGTGGGCCATCCAGGTCACATTGGGTCTGCTGTACCACTTGCCCAACAAGAGCCACAACTTTAGGTTATGGGCCTACACAACCCAAAAGACTAGTCTGATGGGTGAAGACCGCTTCCACCTTTTAAGTCATCCTCCCCCATCATTAATTACCGATTGTCAGCTTTGCCCAAGGATACGAACGGAGCAGCAAACTCACGCAAGCAGCGAACTCAAGCGATGACACACGCAAGAGTAGCAAATTGTAGTGGACACACACGATAGATCGACAATGGCGACGCACACGCACTAAGCTTTTCTCTCTATGGCTCAATGGAGATGAACACAGGGAAGCTTTGCGGCAACAAATCTCTTTATCTGTGACTCACACACACAAACACAGAATTTACATGGAGCTTATAAGGCCCAGGCGACGACGTGAGTTACACGCCGAGCAACGTCCTGATGGCCGAGTCTCACGCACATATACGCTCACACGATCTATACATGCATAGCCACCGACTACTGCATGCCATGCTCCACGATCCGCATGAGACAGCTAACAACCCTGAGGAATCGCACCAACTAATCCATGCAAGACACACACACAAACTAATTATGCACTAACAAATTAGTTAGTCTACCATGCAAACACAAACACGTACTTCACGTTGCTGCCTATACACAACACATGCAATTAAGGATATATCAAGCCTACTAGTCAAGATTAATACTAACACATACGAGTTGTGAGACTAAACAGGTCCACTAAAAATTAGTGCATCCAAAGTTAAGGTGTTTCGATTTAAGCTAATATGTTCTGATATATTTTGTGTCTGTAGATTCCTTTTCAAATTTCACTCTGTCTGCTTGAATCTGCTAGACCTATTCTAACGCGACGCGCGACGATGACTGCCACGACGACGACGGTGCCGATGCCTTGGTCTAACCGCCGGCTGCGACGACGCAGCCTGGATCCGCCGCCGGCTCGCAACGGGCACGCCGATCCACTACCGGCTGGTCTCAGGTAGGGAAAGGGAGGCGACGGCTGCGGCGGCGGCGAAGAGGTGAGGCGGCGGCTCGGCTCCTCCCTCTTTCGGCGACGGGCATATATATATATAGTTGCAGCGACGTAAGTAGCACCCCGAAGTCTTGAGTTCAAATCTTTATAGGAGCAAATTTTATATTGGATTATATAAGGGTGTATGTTCTTAATTTAAAAGTAGGCCTGGTAAAAATATACCCTTCTCTAAATAAAAAAAAAAGGCCCAAACCCTTAGCAACCAGGCCTTAATTAGCGGAGTCGCAGACTCGCTTGTTAAAAAATATACCCTTCTCGGAGTCGCAGACTCGCTTGTAATTTGGCAACGTTTGCGATCTTAATTAGCGGAGGGAAAGCTTAGGAGACGACTACGGATCGGACATCTGATGCGATTGTTTTCGTCGGACGTCTGTTCTACTGTTGGATCCACATCCATCCCTTTATGTCCATCTGATTAAAAAAAACTATTACATACGTATGCAGAGAAGAGCAACAACAAGAAAAGTTTAACCGTGCATGCTCAGTACCAAATGAGAGAGGTACATGGATAGTGACAAGCTTCAAACTATTTTTTCTCGAAAACTATTTATCCAATTTACAATTTGATTACACTGTTGTATTCGTTATAATTAAATCTATATAACAAGATATCACATCATTATATTCTGAGAAAAAAATACAAATGTTTCAACCGTTGAACTTGGATGTTTCACGTGTGAGAAATAAATGTTTCAATTGGAATTTGACTATGTTGCACATTTTAAGTTCTATATTGTAGTAGATCTTTATAAATATTACACGTGATATTATTTAGATGTTTCACTAGTTCAATGTAAATGTTGCACCGGTGTTTTTTTTAGTGTTTCAATAAATAGGTGTAGTGTTGCAACACTTATAACTCGATGTTTCATATATAGAATAAAAATGTTTCAATTAGGATTTAACAGTGTTTTATTCTTTTTATTTATTTTTTACCAAAATATAATCAACTAAGATCTTATTGTAAAGATTTAATTGCAACGGATATAATTCTGTAATCGGATTGTAGATTTAATAAATATTTTTAGGAGAAAACTAGTTTAAAGCTACTAATGCATGCATAGCTTTTTTTTACATACATACACACATATATTAGAGTGAAGTACTAAGGAGAAAAGTAAGAGAGAGAGAAATGTGCAACCCTGCAGTAGGCTGAGAGAAAAAAAAATAAGACAACAGCTAGACATATAGTATGTAGGTCGTGAGCAGATCATGTCTGATTTTGTTTGGTGCGTCGGACGTCCGACGGCAAGCATTTTCTGAAAGCTTAGGCCATGTACAGGGGTCCAAGCTCAGGCCTTGGGTTTCACTGATCGATCGGCAAATTAGCTAACGAATCATAGAGAACAAGTTTTTTAGTCTTTCCAAACCCTTTCAACAAGAATAACTAAAACCCCCTGAGCGAGGGTTTAGACAAGTTGATCCGCTATCGCCGTATTTGTTCCTATTGTGTGCTGAAGGTTTCTCTGCCTTACACAATTTGCCACAAAGCACCAAGTTCGTGGATATTCAATGCAGGCTCGAGCTTGGCTCGTAGTCATGAATTGGAAGTTCGAATCGAGCTGAATTCGAGCAGCTATCAAACCTCGAGCTTTTTTGTCAGGCCTACATGGCATTATGAGGAAAAAAAAGGCTTATTCTTGGTGAGATCGGCCTCATAGAGTGTTATGTGATGAGAGCCAGCGCACAAGTTATAGAGAGGCAGCCTCAACAAGAATTTCTGCATTGGCTTCTGAAATCTGAAGAAGTATTGGAGAGAATTTGGAAGATGAAGTGTCTAAACAGAATTGAACATTTTGTACGTAGGTTGGCTCACAACTTATTGAATAGTTTCACATTAGTTGTGGAAGGGCAAATAATTTAAGATATAAGTAGGGGAGCCCCTTACTTCAATGGCTAGCTTTTGGGGTGGGAAAGGCCCTTTACGATCCTACAATTGGTATCAAAGTCTGGCTAGGTTAACATCTCTGGTCCGATGAACACAATGTGTGAAGGCCTGATGGACTGTGGGTGCCTGCGGGGCCCGTATACCTGATGGACCATGGGCCAGTGGGGCCCGGATACGGTGAAGGGGCTGAGGGATACCAATGTGTGAAGGGGGAGATTGTTGAATAGTCCTACATTGGTTGAGGAAGGGCAAATGACTTAGTTGTGGAAGGGCAAAGGACCTAAGATATAAGTGGGGGAGCCCCTCACCTAGGAATCCTAATTGGCGCCGCGCCGGCGCCGGCCCACATAGCCCAATAGGTGGATTTTTCCACGTATGTGCAAACTTTCAACCCAGATTTGAATACTTTCAACTCCGACTTGAAAACTTTCAACTCCGATTTGAAAACATTCAACTTCGACTTGAAAACTTTCAACTCATATTTGAAAACTTTCAACTCAGATTTCAAAATTTTCAACTCGAGATTCAAAAACTTTCAACTCAGATTCGAAAACTTTCAACTCGAGATTTGAAGACTTTCAAATCGGATTCGAAAACTTTCAACTCGAGATTTGAAAACTTTCAAGAACAGATTTGAAATTTTTTAAGTTAAGATTTGAAAAAACATGAAAACTTTCGACTCAGATTTAAAAACTTTCAACTCGAGATTTGAAAACTTTCGACTTCGACTTGAAAACTTTCAACTCATATTTGAAAACTTTCAACTCAGATTTAAAAATTTTCAACTCGAGATTCAAAAACTTTCAACTCGGATTCGAAAACTTTCAACTCGAGATTTGAAAACTTTCAAGTACAGATTTGAAATTTTTTTAAGTTAAGATTTGAAAAAATATGAAAACTTTCGACTCAGATTTAAAAACTTTCAACTCGGATTCGAAAACTTTCGACTCGAGATTTGAAAACTTTCAACTCAATTTCGAAAACTTTCAACTCGAGATTTGAATACTTTCAAATCAAATTTAAAAATTTTCAAGTTAAGATTTAAAAACTTTCAACTCAAAATATTTTTTAAAAAATAAGTGTGCTAAAGATTAAAAAAAGTAATCAGAAAAAAAGAAAAAATCGCAAAAAAAAACGAAAGAAAAAAAAATCATGAATAAAAGAAAAAATCGCGATGGGCTTTGTGGGCCAGGGGGCAGCTCGCGAGCGCGCCAGTTAGCAACACCCCCCTCACCTCAATAGCTAGCTTTTAGGGTGGGAAAGGCCCTTTACGATCCTACACAACTCGCTAGCTTTGTGTTGCAATCTGAAGAGAAGGGGAATTAAACGTTGATACTCAGTGTTTTATACGCAGAATAATGGACGAGGATGGTGGCCATCTGTTCTTTTAGTGCAAGTACATAAAAGCACGTTTGGCTGGACATGTTCTAGGAGGAGGTCAGACAGGAATTGGCCTCAAAGAGAACAGATATAGAAGTGATGGAGAGCGTACTTAAGCTAGATTTATCGCTACAATTGAAGGTGGTGTTTTTATTCTACTACTGGTGGTGTGAAAGAAAGTTTTCCTTATTTGCTTCCAATTAAAAAGTAGGTCTATGATCAATACCGATCAACTAGAGTGACACATCAGTAGAGTCAAGCTTAACTTCATTCAAGCTCAATTACAATAGATTGAAGCTCAATTACAAACTAGCAAACATTGCCAGGTCCCCCATAAGAGAACACGCCATCTCTAACATCAGTGACAGGGTAACAATCTGATACGTGTGCTAGATCATGGTCAATTGGATGGGCGTTGCCAGCTGCATCAAAGAATTTGAGATTACTAAATGAGGCAGCATTTTTGGGTGGAGCAATCCCACTGCCCATCGGAGGGCTCGGTTTATGTTCTTTCCAGAAGGCAAAGCCCCCAAACACAATGTTCACCGGCTTATTTGACAAGGATGTAAAGAGAGATCTCGGATAGTATCCTATAATCTTGGCCTTCCCATCAAAACCAAAGTAGATTTCCCAGTCACCAGAGTTTTGATCCTAGAATCATGTGTAATTGTATTGTTATGTCAGATATATACACGCAGAATTGTAATCATTGATGAGTGAATGATTTCTCCATTGTTGGACAAAATAATGAATGGTACCTTGGATACTCTGACAGTAATGTATTGTTTCCTTCTAGAGGTGCTGGAAACAGGGTTAATCACCTGTCCAGGAACGAATGGGTGCGAGCCACCTGTCCTTTGGAATCCAGGACAGCGCATATCTAAACAACCTTTCTTGGATTCTTCAACCTAGCATTGGAGTAGTCATGACATGATAAATGTAAAATCTATATGATAGTTCAGTCTCCATCTGACCATTGCAAATTCTTTTTAGGATATGGCACTCCCTGTCTCTCTCATGGGAATTAACTTAAAGAAAAAAAAATAATATGTCGAATAAAGAACTGTATTGTTAATGAAGAAACTTACAAACCAACTTGTAGTGAAGTGCGTCTGTGAATCGTTGTATGATTCAGGATCGACCTATATGAGGTACAACAAAATTAAACATAAAAACTAGATGAAATGAAGTAATTGATTAATTTCATTATTAGCTCTACTTCACAAGGATTTTGACTGTATGTTTAAACTTGTTTATGTCAGTATTAGAGAAGTAAAGAAGAAAAGGTAATTCAAAAACATGGAGATAAAGTTCAACTTACATTCCATCCAGCATGAATTACATTTGCAGCTGTTGTTTCATCTGAATTATAAATCTATATGAAACCTCTGGTTTGTTGCCCGTGCTCTAGATTAAATCCATAAACATCCATAGTAGCCTCTAATACATAATACTCAGTAGCACCGTCGTCTGGAGGAATCCATCCATGTACTGCAAGCTGCCAACGTATTTGGTCATGAAAATCGTAATCATGTCAGCAGATGCATCTTTCAGAATTAGAAGACAAAAAAAAAACATTGGGTTGGGCACTCACATATTTTGCGCTAGATTGATTTGATTCATGACTCGATTTAGATAAGTTTGCATGAAGTATGGGGGCCATCAATGCTCTCCAATTCTTTTGAACCTTGTTAATTGTGTTCAGGAAAAGCAGAATGAACAATATCAACTATGGCTGCCACTACTAGTACATTTTACATTAAACTCAATCAAATTTGAATCATAATTAAAGACAGTATAAAGTTGTAGATGTACTTCCTCAACAGTAGGGAAGCATCCTCCTATTGTTGAACCAGTAAGAAACAACACAAAGAACAGTGCATATCCAGAAAAAACTTTCTCCATGGTGGAATTGGGGAGTGGAAAAGATATTGTGTTCTGTGTGCCTTTTGATACACGTGTTCCTACATATCCTCTTTATATAGACGAATCAGAAGGGGCCTGCAAACTCATTAAATCAGAAATCAAAACTAAATATTTAATTCGAAGAGAAATCAAAACCATATCTTTCATTCAATGAATATTAATGAATATATATTTATATTGCAATGAATGAGAAGTGCATCAATAGAAGATATCTTCAACCAACTTAATAAATAAAATAGATACAAAGTGTATCAAACCTAATTATTATTTTGTCTGTACAGGGTTAAAGGAGAGATACTGTTCAAGTCCATTTATGTACCTAGATCAGTTCTTTTGTAATTGACCTGAAATATCATTGTGGTCAGATTAGCATTGCTCAGGTTAAAAGGATGGTGAAAATTAATACTTTTCCTTATGAAAAGTGAGTCGCCTTTGGTACTGGACTCTCCAAGGCGCCATGTATAACCTGCTAATGAGGGGGAAAGTGGCCGTAGAATCGTTCTTGGCAGCCAGCCAAACAGGAGATGCTCACTGAGAGCTCCGCCGTTGAGGAGTCCAAAGCTCCATATTCATCTCCTGTGGCTGCTCATCGTCTTGTACGGGTCGTCAGCAGTTAGTGGGAGGAGATGGGCAATGGTGGCAGATAAAAATTGGGTCTGAAAACGAGTTAGGCCCAGTGTATTGAGCCTTAAAATAGGCCTCAAGTAAATTATAAGAACACAATTCATCACAAATAATGCTTTGCCACATCAGAGCATACCTCATTATTGGATCGATCTGGCACAGCAATAAGGTACTGGTTCAGTAGAAACCGGCACCTATTATAAATTATAAGTACCGGTTAAGAGCACAAATCAAAGCTATAGAAGTATATGTAGTTGCACTCTGCACTTCGAGCATCGCACGTGACGAGGCCGCCGTCGCCACTCCTGACCGCTTTGCAAAGGTGGTTGAAGCATGGCAGCTTAGAGAAGGAGGACGACTTGTTGGGGTAGTAGGATCAGGGGCGGAGCTAGAGTATTGAGGGGGTGCCCAGGAATCTGGTCAAGAAAAATAGTTATACCTATCTATTTTCACTATATGTATCCCCTCGATACAAATTTAGACACTCGTAGCTTAAACTTGATATAAAGCAGAGTAAATTAAACAAGTGGCACGGCGATTCCAAGGGCTAGGCTCCATCAAGCTCTAGCATACCCTCCGATTTTTGCAAAATATTTTTTTTAAGAATTATACAGTACAACGCAGACACTCACAACGCACGCGCACTCACCCCTATGAACACACGCACGCAAACCCTACCCCTATGAGCATCTTCGAAGACTGGGCCAGCAAATTCTGGATAGATTGACGAAGTCACTACAGGCGCCTCGCTGTCGACGGGTACGTCGCCTACCACTGAAAGCACAACGCCGTTAAATCCTGGAAAATTCATTCCCATGGGGAGTCGAACCCAGGACCTCGGGTGCTACTAAGTCTCTTGTAACCACTATTTTCAACTAGATAGCTAAACCATGGCGTGATAGCAGCGTTTTTCCTGGGAAGAAGATGAACAGGCGGCGGCGCAGCGCCTAGGAGTCGAGAGAAAAGACCACCGAAGGAATGAAGCGGTACGCACGTGTTAACAGTGAAATTTGGTAAGCCCAGAGTAGTCATCGGCTTAGAGTCAACATCGGCTTTGAAGTCCTGAGATTAGCCGATGAGAGTTGTCAAGTCGTCAGTTGTCGGATTCGTGCTATATTCGGTTAAGGAAATTGATCTACTAAAGGAAGCTTATCCGAAGGGACCGAGTTCAAATAGAATGCGGCATGACAAGTTATCTATTAATTAGGAATAGCTTGTTAGTTTCCTTTTATCTTTAGGAAAGTGTGTTTAGTGTCCTATAAGGACTTTATCTTTTCCTTTTATCTTTAGGAAGGTTTCTTTCTTGTCCGACAAGGACTTGTATCAACCCATGGGTATAAATATGTACACCCGGGGTCTATGTAATCTATCGCTACGATCAATACAATTCGGTGCATCGCCCCTTTTACCTTTTATAATTTATTTTATCGTTCGGTGGGACACCTGACGCGGGGCTGCATCAGTGTTCGATCTCCGGCTAAGGGATAAGTCCAATGTTCCGCCGGCCCAGGCAATTGTATCGTTTACGTCGGCGTCGTTCAAGGCTGCATCAGTACATTCGACCTCTTGGATTGCTTTGGTTTGGATGATATATTTGCCTACCTATTTATCATATGTCTCTGTTAATCTAGTCTTAGCATATCAATTTAGCTCTATCGGCTGCTTCTTGTTTTAGGGTTTCTACTAGTATCGGCTAAATCGCGTTGCTAGATTAGATTAGCTTAGATATCTACCACCCTGAAAACTCAGTCAACGGCTTAATTGTCTAGATATTATTTTTTTTCATACTTAGTGCTGTATCAGTTAAGTTTGATCTACTAAGTCGTGCTTATAACCATAATCTCTAGCCTACATCTTGATTGCCAATAAGGGTTTCATTAGGGTTTCAGCCGGTGAGTTATCTGGACGTTGCATCAGCTCATAAGGATTGCATATACATATAAGTTGGATTTATCCGATGACAACAAAGGTTTCACTGTTTAATCTAATCTTGTGGATTTCATGACATCGGACCTCCAGCCGATGTGTGCTTTAACCTTCGGATCGATGCTTATTTATCACATCATTGCTAGTCGATTGGTTTATACTAGATTATATTGTTATTTTATTACATCATCATCAACCGATTGCCTTTATATTATTATCTACATTGGACATATAGCCGATTGCTTAAACCCTATCGATATCGGCTGGTATCGGCATCGGCTATTATCGCTATCATCTGGAACTACTCCATCGGCTTGTCAGCCGATTGGCTGTTTTGATCTACTATTTGCATATCTTGTCAACTGCAGGATCAAACTAACTGGCACGCCCGCATCTTACCAAGATTTCGACCTGCACAGGAGCTAAGCAGATCTCCTAGGCCAGTGTGTTCGAATTTTTCGTCAACACAAATTGGCACGCCTGGTGGGACATGAGTTTTGCACCTAACAAGTCTGAAGAAGAAGTCAATTCCAAGAAGGGGCAATCTACTAAGCCGATATTTTAAGATTAAGTTGATGAAGCAGCTCATTGCACCTTGATTGAACAGTCTGAAGTTTTGGTGGTTACATTGTAAATTTTGATCAAGAGAACAGTTGATGAGTTAATTGTTCAGAGACACCAGCTCGGGGGCAGATTGAAGAGCAATAACAATATCGGCTCGGGGGGGGGGCAAGCACATCAGTATCGGCTCATGAAAGCCGATTGCAAGAAGCAACAGAGGATCAATTTTGGAGTAATCAACGCGAGACAGAAGATAATTTTGAAGCATGAGTCCTCATACTCCAAAATTGGGGGGCATGTGTGAACAGTGAAATTTGGTAAGCCCAGAGTAGTCATCGGCTTAGAGTCAGCATCGGCTTTGAAGTCCTGAGATTAGCCGATGAGAGTTGTCAAGTCGTCAGTTGTCGGATTCGTGCTATATTCGGTTAAGGAAATTGATCTACTAAAGGAAGCTTATCCAGAAGGGACCGAGTTCAAATAGAATGCGGCATGACAAGTTATCTATTAATTAGGAATAGCTTGTTAGTTTCCTTTTATCTTTAGGAAAGTGTGTTTAGTGTCCTATAAGGACTTTATCTTTTCCTTTTATCTTTAGGAAGGTTTCTTTCTTGTCCGACAAGGACTTGTATCAACCCATGGGTATAAATATGTACACCCGGGGTCTATGTAATCTATCGCTACGATCAATACAATTCGGCGCATCGCCACCTTTTACCTTTTCTACTTTATTTTATCGTCCGGTGGGACTTGGCACCTGATGCGGAGCTGCATCGGTGTTCGATCTCCGGCTAAGGGATAAGTCCAATGTTCCGCTGGCCCAAGCAATTCTATCGTTTACGTCGGCGTCGTTCAAGGCTGCATCAGTACATTCGACCTCTTGGATTGCTTTGGTTTGGATGATATATTTGCCTACCTATTTATCATATGTCTCTGTTAATCTAGTCTTAGCACATCAATTTAGCTTTATCGGCTCCTTCTCGTTTTAGGGTTTCTGCCTGTATCGGCTAAATCGCGTTACTAGATTAGATTAGCTTAGACATCTACCACCCTGAAAACTCAGTCAACGACTTGATTGTCTAGATATTATGTTTCTTTTCATACTTAGTGCTGCATCAGTTAAGTTTGATCTACTAAGTCGTGCTTATAACCCTAATCTCTAGCATGCTTCTTGATTGCCAATAAGGGTTTTATCGGGGTTTCAGCCGGTGAGTTATCTGGACGTTGCATCGGCTCATAAGGATTGCATATACATATAAGTTGGATTTAGCCGATGACAACAAAGGTTTCACTATTTAATCTAATCTTGTGGATTTCATGACATCGGACCTCTAGTCGATGTGTGCTTTAACCTTCGAATCGGTGCTTATTTATCACATCATTGCTAGCCGATTGGTTTATACTGGATTATATTGTTATTTTATTACATCATCATCAGCCGATTTCCTTTATATTATTATCTACATTGGACATATAGCCGATTGCTTAAACCCTATCGATATCAGCTGGTATCGGCATCTGCTATTATCGCTATCGGCTGGAACTACTCCATCGACTTGTCAGTCGATCGGCTGTTTTGATCTACTATTTGCATATTTGTCAGTTGCAGGAGCAAACTGACTGGCACGCCCGCATCTCACCAAGATTTGGACCTGCACAGGAGCTAAGCAGATCTCCCAGGCCAGTGTGTTCGATTTTACGTCAACAGCACGAAAAAGAATTATTAGGCCGAAATGCCCAATTTTGTGGGCTCGTGGCCTATGTCCTCCTCCCAGACTTCACTGACTCGGTCACCCCAAGTCCACAGCCACCAGAGGCGAAGCCCCCAAATCCCCCTCCCCCCACCCTAGCACGGCGACGGCGTGACTGGCGGGCGGCGGAGGCGGCATTGCGGGCTTGCGGCAGTGTTGCAGTCGAAACTCCTAATGGGCGATCAATCGCTGGGCTACAGGAGTAGCGATC